TACAGCCCGAGTGTCTCTTTGTAGAAACCCGGATATAATATGGGTCAAACATATCAGGACACATAATTTCCGGTGAAATATTAGCAGTTCAGGGTGAATACTCAACAGGTGGTGAGCGCCTCTACTAGACGATGAACAAAGTGACCACTCATGGGTAAAAGGATAACTCATTATTATCCTCATCAATCCTGCGCGCCTTCAGACCCCGGCTGGCGGAAAGGGACAGAAGTGAAAAACACAGTTATTTTGAACAGAAACTGTGTCCACCAGACACTATCGCTGGAGCCCGTTACGAGGACGCAAAAGTCGTATATTCTCCCATTTTTCATGTTAGCTCCACCGCTATTTCGGCTGAATCCCGGTCGCTGGTGGGCAGTAGGGACGGACAGCAGAACAGGACTTCTCCCGACGGACCGGCGTTGGCAGTATGGAGCAGACGAGAATGAGATGACCACAGAATTTCCTGTCTCAGTGTCCGACGGTATGACTCCGACGGGACGGAGCGACGGAAGTCCCGTGCCTCAGTCTGGCGTCATATAGAGAAAACATTGTGCTGTATTATTTCACACGGACGTCGGACAGCAGAGCCTCCAGTCTCGTACAAGACGTCCAATTCGGAGACCAGCGGTGCGGATATTGCTCACCGTTTCGTCATGGCCCGTAGTGAGCTATATTCACCGCAGACTTCTACTGCATCATGACCCGTCAGGAAAACGAAGGTCGGCGTCTGTCTGATGCCGCTATGATCACCACACTATCACACACGAGCAGCCGGATATCGTGTCCGATCTAACACCCACCCGGCACGCCACGACAGCTGCTCCCGCATGTTCGCAGCTGAATAAAGTCGTACCATGCAGCCCCCCCCCCCGCGGTCCCGACGCGTCTGTCGGGGGGGGGGGGGGTCATGGCAGACCGGCTGCAGACCACCTGCGCCCCTTTTACCCCTCCCCTCCCTCAAGGTCGGTCGTGGTGTGATGGAGTCGGCTACCACTCCCCCAGCGATTCACACAACCCAAACACCTCTGCCACCACAGCCGGTAGCGTGGTCCGTAGCGGTGTTACGACTGTTGGCAGCGGACGGGCGCCGGTCACGAGAGGAGTCACCTGCCGCCGCCGCTGTCATCACCTGCCGGTTGACGAGTGCCGGACGGGGTGGGTGGAAAGAGTGACAAACGAGCTTGAGACGGCGGGTGGATGAGTGGAAGGGTGGGTGCGGCAGGGACGTCCATGCCCGAGAAAGAACGATGGAGGCACGCCATTCGATTTGTACCAGTTTAAATCCCCTGATATAATTTAAGCCTCGCTCTTCTAACTCAGGCCACAAATGGCCCTGGAATCACCATAGCAATCTCAGATGGCTAAAACTTCACTCAATCCCAGTACCACAGCCACACGGAGCCATAACGTACCACACGGTACCAAGCGACCTTCTAAAACCATGTTCGGACCACCATGGACCACTAAGGACCGGACCAACTCTCCCGGTGCCATCTGATCTCACAGACCACGGCCTTCATCCCTGCGTCTCCAATCACCGGCGTGTCTCCAGGATCACTATCACCCGACAGCCGGCACAATGCCACACGACGGGCGCGTGCGGCTCCGGGCGTCCGGCCGCTCGGCGATCGGGAATACAAAGCAGTCGCCAGTCGCGCACGGCTCGCTCCGATCTCCGATTGCCATATACGGGAGTGCGCAGTCACCGTCGCCGCCGCTGGGTATTTTTGGTGAGGTGCTGGGGATGGTCGGCTGGTTCATGGAGTTGCCGTTCGCCTGGCTGATAGTCGAGCAGTGTCCGGTTTGGGAGCTGACAGCGGCCTGACACGGCCGTCAGATAGCCGGGCGGAGGCTGATAGAGCACGGCCAGTGGCGGCGCCGAGGGCAATTCGCCGGCCAGGCCGGTGGGTAATACCGTCCACTGGCAGCTCACGGCAGCGGAGGAAGGTTTGGAAAAAGGTATGGGAATGGAATCGTTTTTATATGGGCATATGATATGATATTGGCTGGGTCACGCTAAAATGTCTACGTAACAACTTTATGTGCGAAATGAGAGCAATCAATATGTGAAATTTTTAAATGACTTAAACATTTTAACCAAAAACTTCTTCCGAATTCCTTAAAACCTACACATACATAATCTAAAAACTTGTTATCATGAGACTCTAATCAAACATATTCCATCTGTGTATTTCCACACTATCAAATGCCGCTTACAAATGTAGCACTGCTGTCAAAAAACAAGTCTACATTTATCAAGTCTCGACCTCCCGACGAGCTAGCCAACGCTACACACACAGGACAGGGCCATCCCCGCTCGGCCAGTCAGCGCTCGGTATAGGCAGGATGTGACGCCGGACAAGACGGGTTGTTGTTGCACGCCAGCGGATGTGCGCCGCCGTCGCGTCTCACAGGCGCCGAATCAGCGCCGCCAGCGACACAGGCTCCGGCGGGACAGAGCAGATTGTGGAACTGAGAGGTCCGCGGGTTGGATACGGACAGCACAGCCCGCGGGAACCGGTAACGATGCCAGCCCACAGTCCGAACCAGTGCCATTTCTGTCCGTGTTTATGTCGCGTGTAAACAGAGGACGCAAACCGTGACGCCAATCGCCATGTTTCGCGCGATTCGGGCAGATGGTAATTTGGGCGGCTTTTCTAGACAGGTGGACACCCAGCCCTTTGTATCTCAGACGAGGTTCATTCTCGTCGCCTGAGGTCTTTCCAGACAGCAAACGCAGTTCCAATCTATGCTGCATATATTCGAGCCGACCACCTCGATATTGGCGTAAATCTATCACCGAAGCTAGTGGTGATATTACGCTGCCCCTCTTCTAGCCCCGGGGGCTCTGCGCCCCTTGCAGCTCCCCATCCAGTCCCCTCACAGACACCAGACAGGGCAGAGCGGGGTCCGCGCGGCGGCTGACTCACACCGGCTTTGTTCGCAGCCGCATCACCCCATGACGACCGACTTCTGATCAGCCCGCACACAAACATCAGCGCTCAACGACGCAACTTCAGCGCCCCAGAGGCGCGATGGCTGCCTTTATGGTGCGGAGCGAGCTACCGGTACGGAGAACAGATGCGAGCCGTGATCCTGTGGGTGGCTGGGAGGGCTGGGAGGGCTGGGAGGGATGTGAGGGGTGGCACGGGGGACGGGACTGAGGGTAGTGTGAGTGTAGCAGGGTGGGTGGTGAACTTGGTGACTTTGGAGGTAACGGCAGGGTGGACTGTGAAGTGTGAATGCGACAAGGTTGAATTCGAGCTCCCAAGCGTAATGAGAGAGAAGGATAGTTTGTAGGGACATGTCACCCCGCGGCGATTAGTTAACTACTCAGTGATTACTTTGCCACACCGGAATGATTCTCGTACTTCATATTTGCCTGTCACCGCCGCCTGTCGCCTATTTTGCCCAATTACGGCCCACAGAACCGGTATAGACCGGGCAGGTCTCCCAACCATCCGAGAAACGACAGACGGACTCCGCTGTCGCGTGACCAACAATAGCCGGCCCTCAGTTTTGACACGCGCTTCGCATTCAGCCGGCGCGTTCCGCGTGATACAGCGGATTTCGCTTTAGGGATAATGTTACCGTCGCCGTGATGCGACGCCTTCTACAGCCACAGAACAAGCGTCTGCAATTAAGTGCGATCCGTTGAACGGCGAAAAGCTTAGCCGGCAACGGCGACCCGCACTGCTGCTCGGGCAGACGTCTATTTTACCAGCTCGTCGCAATGCAAGAAATGCAAGTAATCTACGAGTATGCCGGGAAGAACGAGGACCAAGTGACAAGGACGGGAAGCAGCTAGACCAGAGACGGCGCAGATTTGGCTCAAGTCAACATGTTCAGCACGAAGCGATTCCAAACTCCGTTGCCACCCGTTCCATAACGGCCCATCGGCCCATCCGCCACCTTCCGCCCGTCGTTAGACCTCACAGTGACGTTGCAAGCGACGGCCAATTCACCATGCGAACTGCACTGCGATGACAGGCAAAGCACAAGGTCACGACAGGTTCAGGATTGGCAGAGTGTGGCGAGCGTTCCCACACCCACGCTCAATAACTGGACTCAGTCAGACCTTTACCTATGGTTCCTCTCAGTTCGTCACAAAACAAGAGCCGTCACTTGTCTCATACGGCACCGGCCGGCTGTCCAATAACTCATCTCTCAGGGCAGTATCAGCCACCGCGCACCCGGTCAGACCAGGCTAGTGCAAAGGCTAAGAACTCATCCTTAGGTAGGGACACCTTGAAAGATGACTTGACAGGATGGCACGACTTGTCATTACCACTAGCCTCGTCTGGTCAGGCACTGGCCACGCAGAGTCCGACCTGTAGTAGAGTGCCCCTACCGACCCCGACCCGAGTTCAGGCACTCCCATTAGCAGCGCGACCCGTCACAGGGGACCTCTGCGATCCTCCCGGCTCCCGTCTAATCGCCGGTACGTCCTGTGCCCATCCCGACGGCCCGAGCCGAGCCCAGCTCCGGCGCCACGGCTGCCATCACCGGCGGGCGGGGGGCCCAATCGGTAGGCCGGGCGACGAGCGGGGATTAGGGAGTTGGCTCGGGCAGTGCTGAGGTGGGGGTGGGGGGGGGGGGGGAGTGACACGCTGGTGAGAGGAGAACCTGGGCGTGGGAGGGGAGGGAAAGACAGGTAGCGATGGTAATTGGATGGGTGATCTAAGCCTCCAGATAGGTAAATGTGGAAAGGTACCATGCAGTCATTGGTGTAAACTGAAAGAGCATTTGATGAACGGACAGGTGTAGGCAAGGATTTGAAAGAAGCAAAACTGCACAGACTGACACCAATAACCAGTTTCAGACATACATAAATCACCCAGTCCCTGTGCGATGCGGTTAATTCCGGTTCACAGCGGGACGGTGACCGTTTGGGTGTTATCGCCGCCGCGATTAGTGTCCGTGTGCGCGCGGAACTAACCTCCTCGGTGGACTACAGCCTAGTGGAGCTAGCCTGCTGTCTGTGTGCGCGGGGAACTAACCTCCTCGGTGCGCCGCTGCTGCTCGGCTCGTTTGGCGGCGCCCTGGGCCTGGATCCAGGCCTCGGTGCCGCGCGCCACCCGCTGAGCCGCCTGGGTGACACTGCTCCGCCACTGACTCCACGCCATGGCGACGGCAGCTCTCCGACACTGACACACTGACACCGAGTGACACCGACACTGGCCACTGGCAGCTCTGGCTGATACAGGCTCGACAGAAAACCCCGCGTCACTCCGAGCCGAATGAAGCTAATTCAGGTCGTATAAGATGCACTGCGGTATCAGGCGACAGATGACTGATGACACAGTCTTGCTTCAGCCGAAACGTCACTCCTGGAACTTGCTAACGACTGGACTTCCAACACTTCCAAATCCTCTCAGCAGTTACCACTGCCCACACTAGGGAAGGCCAGGACCTCAGCGCTACCCGCGTCTCACTGCCAGCACCTCAGCTGCGATCTCACCACGATTCGCTCTCACTAACCACGGCGGCAATAATCACAAATCATGAGCATCTCCAGTGGCTACCCACAGCCGTGTGTGTGTGTGTGTGTGTGTGTGTCTCAGACTGTCCACTATAAGCTCACTCTTAAGCGCTCGCACGATACACACTGACGGGCCAGACCGAGACGTTCCACACGCGGGTCACACGGCGCCTCGACTGGGCGTCCCTGTCACACACAGCGCCGCACGTGCGGCTCCCGCGCGGCCGCCGGGCTATCACTGGAGTCGGCCAGCCGTCAGACCCGCCTCGCCGCGCCGCCGCCCGCAGCAGTGCCAAGTCAGGCGTCTGGGACCGGCCTACCACCCACCGCCGCCGCCGCCACGGCGTCCCGGGACCATTTGTCAGCGAAACATCAACAACCAGCCGACTGGGGGGCGGAGGCGGAGCATCCGCGGAATGGCAGGCCGTGCTGATAGCGGTGTGGACAGATGAGCCGCCACCACCTGTTGCACTCACACGGGCTGACCTGGCCCGCCCCTCTCGCCATTCAGGTGACCAGTCTCTCACATCAGTTGGCGGTGGCGGTCCTCAACAGTCAGCACTCAACCGCATCCTATCTAGTACATGCCTGCCATGGTGCTGCCACCAGACAACACAATCGTTGAATCTCAGACGTGCCGTATGCGACGGATAGGCCGTACTGTGAGACTGAGGTGATTGGTGAAAGGGGGTCGGTGTGACGTCGGCCAGGACAACGCGTCCGGATAATCCCGGTGCCGTCGGCGAGCTTGGGGGAGAGGACAGTCCGCTACCCCACGCTGAGACCGCTCAGTGCAGCGTGGCAAGCTGACGTCGGCTCAAAATTGGAACTAGGGTAGACCGTCTCGACTGCCAGAGGCTGATGTGACAGGTGACAGTTTTTTTGTGACAAGGTTTTTTTTTCCAGACTCGCAGTAGGTACCGACCGAAGCGGACATTCATAAGTCCAATAGATATGACGTCACTGCTCATTGTTCGACAACTCAAACCGTGAATCCAAGCCGACCCCACACTTGGAAGGCCGGATTGAGTAGCCCCCACACCACTCGATCCATCCACGAACTTCACAATGCCGATACCGACCTCTCGTGGGAGGCTGTCAAAACTCAGCTTCATCCAGTCGGCACGGGGCGAGGTAGACTCCCGGATCCCAAGGAGCGCAATGCGATGACCGCGCATAAGATACATAGCTCTCACCTGTGTTATATCCATGTTTTGATCCTTCACATTTAAACTAGACGAACCGAGAGCAAATCCTGCGACCAAATGAGCAGCCTGTCGTTGGATGAGGCTCACCGAATGCCACCACAAATCCAGGAAAGGAAGGCCGCTGGTGCACACAGCGCCATTCTTCCCGGTAAATTGCGATAAAACGGAGCCCGGAATGTGCACTGGTCAGACTCCATGAAATCCAGGGAAGGTAACAATGCAAATGCAGACCACGGTCAGGGCAATTACAACACGAATGATTCTCACCAACCACGTAGCGGCTGACGTTAAAAACAAACGATGGCTGCTGTGTAGCCATTCCAATGACAACCTTTGTCAATGTAGCCCCAATGTAGCATCTCATAAGCCATTTCATGAAACGACCACCCTCATCAGCTAGAATATACACGTTTCACCGTGATATCTCCTTCATACCGTCCCCAGTCACTAGTTTGACGACCTGCATCGAGGCGCAGAGACGCCGCTGAGCCCTGATAACTAACCAGCCGTCCGGAGCCCGGTGGAGGTGGTTACAGCAGCAGTAGTGGTGGCCGGGCGGGGTAATATGACCGACGTGCTGAATCAGACATCCGGCAACCGCCGTGGAAACGTCATGGGTCGGTGAAAATGCTGCGGCAGCACAGCCGAACGGTTACAGCCGGCAACTTCCGGCCAATACCACCAAGAAAAACCGACAGTCGGCTGCCGGTGCAGAGCAATCGCGGAGCTGGAACTTGTATTAGAGGAGTCTCGTCGCTCAGGAGAAAAATAAGCCTGCTGAGAACGGTTCAGGCCTCACTGCGAATAAGCCCATCCAAGTCTGATTGACTGATACACCTATGTGACAACTATCCATACGTTCATGCCCGATGAAACATTTCGAATGTTTCGATGGCGCCTTATCGCCGGAAATGTGTGACAAGCAGACAGGTAGGTACTAGGTATGTCGTTACTGCTTGCCAAATTCAACAGGCTAAGATATCTACATGCCAATCCCCACCCAACTTTGTTTCCATCCATCAACTTCGTTCTTGCCTTTCCTATCCAGGCTCAGTTTCTAGGTTCCATTCCGTTCATATATCTCCCAGGTCCAGTGCGGAGCAACCACATGTGACGTCGGCAGCCAGTCTCTATCGTCTGGAGACCGAGCTCTGCAGTACGAAGTACGAACAGCCTACCTCGACGGCCGCTGGAGACCGGCTGCCGGCCATTCAATCTGGCCACCGTCGGCGAACGACGTCCCTTGGTACCGACATAACGCTATACAGGGCCCGACAGGCGCAGCACCAGCCAGCAGCTGCATTGTGGTGAAAAGGCAGCCACTGGACGAAGAGCTGGTGGGTGAGGTGCTGGAGAAAATAACTTACCTGGAGTGGAGGAGGCCAACTATCCTCTGCTTCTCTTCTTGCTTTCTTCTAATGGCTCTTGTGAGTCAGGATGGCTCTTGTGAGTCAGGATTAAAAAGTAAACATATCCAAGGGACATGTGTAGCTACACACCACTTGATTGACTTTGCAGGGAGTAGACTGCTTGACCTGAAAAAGGATATGTGATGTGAGAAAATACATGAAAACTTTGCAGTGTCCCAAAATTGAGTTTTGTCTTGGGTGTCAGAGGGGAAAATTACCCACCAAAAATAGGGGAGAGAGAATGAAAAACTGCTGATTTGATTAGATCCAAAAAGAGTGAAAAACAACAAAAAGCATGCATTTGATTCTAAGGTGTAGGATGCTTGATGCTAAGCTGGGCATCCACACAACTGCTCTTTCTACAGGCAAAAAATCTAGATTTTCTTGGTTGGGAGTGGAAAATTGTTCTTAAAAATTGGTGGCTAGAGTGGAAAATGAATTTCATTTGGATGTCTTTACCCACCCAAATCGACAAATTTTGGGACATTGAAACTTTGCAGGCACAACTGGATAGATGCACCATAAATGTGCACTGCATACTGCATTGTGCAGTACCTACCTATTCAGAAATATTTATTCATGCTTCCAATCAGCACTATCAGTCTTCCTATAAATGGGGTGTTGTGAATGTCACTTATTGCATAACATAGCTCCAGATAAGTAATCCATCAATATATTATGAATCAAATGGCAAAATAAAGCTAGCCAGCATACCATTTGACTCATGGTGACTAAAGCACCCATCACTGGTTATTAAACTGAAACAGGTTAAGTTTGCCAGGCCTTTACATTGAAAGCTTCCAATTTCCATTGTGAAAACTGAAAATACATGCTCCAAATTTCATCTCATAAGTAGCAAAATGGAGAGTTAGGTATTCAAAATATTATTGTGTTGAGAAATGATCTTATGCTCATGTAAATTAAAATTAAAAGTACACAAAAGATGAATCAAATTAAAATCATATAGATTTATACATTAAGACTTACTTCTTTTCAATCAAGCAAGACTGCTCACTAACTGGAAGACCAATTTAATAAATCTTGACTCAATCTATGAGGGTCCATTGAAATTTTTAATTCCTTCATACTGTTCCTCTTGTGCATTTGACATGAACAGTATTGGGACTTGATGATTCAGATTGGCAGGTGCACCAAAAATGGCAGTAGTTCATTACACTTATAAGTAATAACTACACTAATAAGTAATAACTACAAAACCATTCGTACAAAATATCAATAGTTGGTCTCTCGCAAGGCAAAAACTGACTTATAAATTTACGTGCTGACTCTTAAGTCTAGACCCAATCTAGACTGAGACATGACGAACCTTAATATCTTGGTACCCCACAAGAGCAGATAACCAAAAAATGAGCACAAAGGGTTTTGATTAAAAAGTTAGAGCTTCAGCTAACGTTGAAAATGGCGTTATACATTATTTGGCATGTTTTGCTGTTTATTTCAACTTTGACTTGAATTTCTTTTAGGAACAATACAAGAAAGATGAAGACAAGCCTTCAAGTTCAAGCCAGTCGTCAACTTACGAAGAATTAATCCGTTTAGATACTTATGATCTCCATTTTCACGAGCGGGATGTCATTTTTGTTGCTCAATTGTAAACCAATATTGATATTTAAACCAACAAACCAAAACCAACAACAGCGAGGTACTTGCCATAAACATTAGAAAGTACTTGGAAAGTACACTGACTTTTTAGAGGTGGTTCTCCCAAGCATGTTTGTACTTTTAAGCAAAGAGTTGAAATTGTTACTGTTTTGGTTCCTGTGTTTTGCATTTTGATAAAAACAAACACTTTCTCAAATCATAATTTTCAAATAAAATGGCATAATCAGACCGTATAATTTTCGAAAAAGTAAAAATTACGAAGGTATCTGAGGAGGAAGTACTTCAAAAGTTTCTCTCTATACTCTAGAAGACATCAGTGACGCAGCTGTTACAAAGTTGACGCATGCCATCATTTTCGGCATTGCTGTTTGGTAGCGTGTGTGTGTGAGGCATTTCAATTTATGTATTTTATTGTTATTTCATGGGCTTTTGCAGATAAAAAGTTAGTAGGTAATAGGTATTCATCACAGATGCAAACTATTTAAAGGGACACTCCCACCTTAACATTAGTTTTGAGTTGAGATAGCCAAATTGGTGGCCATGGCCTGCAAATACCGGTTTGGGCACTCACAACATCGACAAATGCTTTAATTCGGAGATATGGAATTTCAAACTTGCAGTTTTCGGATTCTAAGGGGCTAGTGCATTGGTATGCCCCCTTAGAATTTGTGACGTCAGCGGAGATCTAACGATTTTTAAATCTTTTACTAAAACGTTTGGTAGCATGCGGTGGTATATGCTGCTTTGCGCGCAACAAATGCCGCACTTTCAAATAAAGTCGCTAGGAACAGCGGAGATCCCAAAA